AATTCTATCAGATCTTCAAAGAAGAGCTAACTCCAATTCTCTTCAAACTATTCCACAAAATAGAAACAGAAGGAACACTACCAAATTCATTCTATGAAGTCACAGTCACCTTGGTACCTAAACATCACAAAGACCCAACAAAGAAAGAGAATTTCAGGCCAATCTCCCTTATGAACATTGATACAAAAATACTCAACAAAATACTTGCAAATCGAATACAAGAACACATCAAAGATATCATCTACTATGACCAAGTAGGCTTCATTCCATGTATGCAGGGGTGGCTCAATATAAGGAAATCCATCAATGTGATCCACCATATTAACAAACTGAAAGAAAAAAAAACACATGATAATCTCCTTAGATGCTGAAAAAGCATTTGACAAAATCCAACATCCATTCATGTTTAAAGACTTGGAGAGATCAGGGATACAACACATATATCTAAACATAGTAAAGGCAACATACAGCAAGCCTATAGTCAACATCAAATTAAAGAGAAACTTAAAGCAACCCCATTGAAACCAGGGACAAGGCAAGGCTGCCCACTCTCACCATATCTCTTCAACATAGTTCTGGAAGTCCTTGCTAGAGCATTAAGACAGCTGAAGGAGATCAAGGTGATAGAAATCAGAAAGGAAGAAATCAAAGTATCACTATTCACAGATGATATGATAGTATACATGAGTGATCCCAAAAATTCAACCAGAGAAATCCTTCCACTGATAAACACCTTCAGCGATGTGCCTGGATACAAAATTAACTAAAAGAAAAAAAAAAATCAGTAGCCCTCCTGTATACAAAAGACAAAAGAGCTGAGAAAGAAATTAGGGAAACAACACCCTTCACAATAACCACAAAAGAAATAAAGTACCTTGTTGTGACTCTAACCAAGCAAGTCAAAGACTTGTATGAAAAAATATTAAGTCTCTGAAGAAAGAATTAGAAGATATCAGAAGATGAAAAGATCTCCCATGCTCATGGCTTGTCAGGATTAACATAGTAAAATTGGCCGTCTTACCAAAAACAATCTACAGATTCAATGCAATTCCCAACAAATTACCAACACAATTCTTTACTGACCTTGAAAGAAAAATTCTCAACTTCATATGGAATAACAAGAAACCCAGAATTGCTAAAACAATCCTCTACAATAAAAGACCTTCTGGAGGTATCTCAATCCCTGATCTCAAGCTGTACTATAGAGCAACAGTAATAAAAACTGCATGGTACTGGCATAGAAACAGAATGGTGGATCAATGGAACTGAATGGAAGACCCAGAAATAAACCTACACACTTAATGGACACCTAATTTTTGACAAAGATGCCAAAACCATACAATGGAAAAAAGACAACATTTTCAACATATGGTGCTGGATGTCTCCATGTAGAAAAATGCAAAGAGATCCATACTTATCACCCTGCACAAAACTAAAATCCAAGTGGATCAAAGACCTCAAAACTAGACACATTAAATTGGTTAGAAAAAAAAGTGGGGAAGAGCCTTGAACTCCTTGGCACAGGAGACAACTTCCTGAACAGAACACCAATAGCACAGGCTCTAAGAGCAACAATCAATAAATGGGACCTCATGAAACTGAAAAGCTTCTGTAAAGCAAAGAACACCATCATCAAAATAAAATGACTGACTACAGATTGGGAAAGAATCTTCACCAACCCTTTATCTGACAGAGGGCTAATATCCAGTACATATAAAGAACTAAAGTTGAAATGCAACAAATCAATTAATCCAATTAAAAAATGGGCTAAATAGAGAATTCTCGATAGAGGAATATTGAATGGCAGAGAAACACTTAAAGAAATGCTCAACCTAATTAGCCATCAAGAAATGCAAATCAAAATGACCCTGAGGAGATTTCACCTTACACCCATTAGAATGCCCAAGATTAAAAACTCAAGTGACAACACATGCTGGAGAGGTTGTGGAGAAAGGGGAACCCTTCTCCACTGCTGGTGGGAATGTAAACTGGTACAACCACTCTGGAAATCAATCTGGCGCTTTCTCAGACAACTAGGAATAGCGCTTCCTCAAGATCCAGCCATACCACTCCTAGGCAAATATCCAAAAGAGGCTCAAGTACACAAAAAGGACATTTGCTCAACTATGTTTGTAGCAGCTTTATTTGTAATAGCCAGAAGATGAAAACATCCCAGATGCCCCTCAACTGAAGAATGGATGCAGAAATTTTGGTACATCTATACAATGGAGTATTACTCAGCAATGAAAAATAAGGAAATCATGAAATTTGCAGGTAAATGGTGGGACCTGGGAAGGATCATCCTGAGTAAGTTGTCCCAGAAGCAGAAAGACACACATGGTATATACTCACTCATATAGACATATAATATAGGATAAACCTACTAAAATCTGTACACCTAAAGAAACCAATCAAGAGGGAGGACTCTGACTAAAATGCTCAATCCCCATTCAGAAAGGCAAAGAGGATGGTCACCAGAAGAAGAAGAAAACAGGAAACAAGTTAGGAGCCTGGCACAGAGGGCCTGTGAAAGGCTCTGTCCTGCAGACTATCAAAGCAGATGCTGAGACTTATGACCTATTGTTGGGCAGAGTGCATGAAATATAAGGAAAGAAGTGGGAAATAGTAAGATCTGGAGAGGACAGGAGCTCCAAAAGGACAGCAACAGAACCAAAAAGTCTGAGCACAGGGATCTTTCCTGAGACTCATACTCCAACCAAGTACCATGCATGGAGATAACCTAGAACCCCTACACAGATGTATCCCATGGAAGTTCAGTGTCCAAGTGATTCCATAGTAATGGGAACAGGGACTGCCTCTGAGATAATCTGATTGGCCTGCTCTTTGATCACCTCACCCTGATGGGGGAGCAGCCTTACCAGGCCACAAGAGGAAGACAATGCAGCCACTCCTGATGAGATCTTATAGACTAAGATCAGAAGGAAGGAGAGGAAGGCCTCCCCTATCAGCGTACTTGGGGAGGGGCATGAGTGGAGAAAGGGGAGGGGAGAGAGGAAGAAAGGGTTTATGGTGGGTTACAAAGTGAATAAAGTGTAATTAATAAAAATAAAATAAAAAATATTTAAAAGAAGAAAATAGGTCCCTTTTAGAGTTATAGAGATGAGAGAATAAAAAATGATACTTTCTACATTTTTAGACCTCTTTTTACGGTTTTTGAAGAGAGCAGCTTATCTTGGTTCCCACTCAGAGCAAATCATCAAAGGTGCAGTGGGAGGGGAGTTAATTTTTTACTTCCTGCATTGGAAGATTAGACTAGAGCCTGCTCATACTTCCCACTGAAAACATGACTACACAAGACAGACATCACTGAACTTTGAATAATATTTCTGGCTCCATGCTCTTGGGATTTTGACATTTTGTTCCTTCCATTCCAAAGTGTGCTCCATGGAGAGGGGTCTGTTGGGGTGGGGCATATGATTTTAGAGTATTCAAAACTAATATGCACTTCTAAACTTTTCCAAGCTCACCATTTTGTGTAACAAACCGAATGCTAGCGTTTAATCTCAAGTGTGGCCACTGAAACCTAAGAAGGTGGGCAGAAGCAGTGCCCTGTGTGAGTGTCTCCAGTTCTTAGACTTCCCTGTCAGATTTTTCTCTTTGATAGGACATCTTTAACCCTTTTATTTTACTCAAAAAAGATTCTAATCTAGCCCCAAGGCAAATCAGAAACAGTCAGAAAACACAACTGTGAGTTATAATAAAGGAAGCATGAACCTTCATAGTTTTGTAAATCTTCTCCAAGTACCTGCAATGAAAATGCAAGTTGAGGTGTTATTGTTATTGTTGTTATTATTGTTATTATTATCGTTGTTGTTGTTTTTATTTAGTAGCTCTGTGAAAAATACCCCAGGAAATTCTCCTTCAGTGATCTCCCCACTGGGACACCCACACCCACCCACCCACTCCCCATTTTCTACATTTTAGATTTTTTTTTAAATTGTATACAAATAGACTATTTGATTTGAAGTGAACATATAAAAGTCAAGAAGAATATTGCTTGCAACAATGGACATGGAAGTAGAATGGCCAGGCAGGGAGCACAGAGGTTCCTCACAATGGAGTCAGGAAAACCAGGCTTCCCCAGATGCTTCTCCATTCAAGACGCCTGTGCCAAGGACCTTCCCCTTCAGCCACAAGTCTGAGCTTTGTAACTACCTTCACATTAGCAGGAAAAGAGAACCTGGGAAGGACAGGAAGTGACAAAACCAAAAACCAAGAACCACCAAATGCAAGAAAACTGGAAGGCACAAGCAGGTGTGTAATCTAGATAGTGTTCTTGGAGGGAGGCAGGAGAGGGATATTTTGGTTCAGCACTACAGTTGAAAGAGAATCCTATAAACAGGCTTGTAGAAGCACAACCAGCGCATCTAACTGGTGAGGAAGAACGCTCAGAAGACAGCTAGCGAAAATGGTGCAGAGATAAACGGTCAGTACTATTTGGACGTCTGTGCCACGGTGGGTACAAACTGTTCTCTGCTCTGTGGGATCCAAACCGAACCAGAATAAAGGTGAGCAAACGCGCCCTCCCCAATCCCAAGAGAGCAGCAAGAAGGAAAGCAGGACTCTTACAGCGCTTACGGATCCCAAGGGCACAGCGCGGCGCTCCTGACTTGGATGTGCATTCAGTTCTGCTACCAACCATGTGGCTCTGCCAGACAGGGGACCCAGAAGCATCCTGGCTGCCACGTGCTCTCTGCCTCAACACAGCTTTCCTTCGTCTCCTCCTCCGGGATTAGATTGTTTCCTCCATGAGAGAAATGCTGTTCATGACGGCCGGAAGGCTTGGCACCGGATATCCAGAACACTAACCGAAGTCCCTTAGAGCCTCTGTGTGCATCACGCGGTGTGGAGGCGGGCCTGGGGGCGGGCGTGAAGGCAGCCTTGATGGGACCACGCGGAGAAAAACAGACAAAAACCCACCCAAGTTCACCTCTTCTCAAACAAAAGGCGAAACTGCGGGAACTCGGGAGGGCACCCAGCTAGGAGATGATGGCTGGGGACCACCGCAGCAGACTCAGGTTGTCGGCACTCGCCGACCGCCTCCTCAGGGGTTTCCTCAGGTCCCGGTACTTGTCCTCACAGAGACGGGAGATGGCCTCCAGCTTGTGGGCGCGGTCCCTGCTTAGGGGCTCCAGGGGAAAGCTCAGGTTGTTTGCTTCCGCCAGAGAGCGGAGATCGAAGTAGTACTTGGCGTACACGCTGGACGGGACGTTGATGTTGAACTGCAGCAGTTCGAGGAACTGTCGCTCCAGCTCGTTCATGTCTTCCACCGTGATGTCCTTCAGGATCTGGCAGTAGTCCACGTTCCACACGGCCTGGTCATCCCACACCTTCGAGGCCAGCAGGATGGCCCCGAGGACGATGCGCTTCCAGTTGGCGGGGCAGATGTCGATCTCGGCGTAGGTCAGCAGCCGCTCGAGGTAGACCAGGCTGACGATGGCACATTCGGCGGTGAGCTGGGCCGCGCTGAAGAGCATCCGCACGAAGCGGTAGATGTGCTTCTGCTCCGGGTTCTGCTTGTCGTAATCTGGCGGCACCTCAGAGCTTGAAAGGGGGTGGAGGTTTTCATCAAAAATATCCAAAACCACCCTTCCGTCCGGGTCCCTGTTTTTGATGTGGTAGTATATGGCCAGGGCCACACACCTGATCGTGTACCTGAGGTTCGGCTGGCTGACCGTGCTGTCGTCTAGGAAGATGGTGGAGCAGGAGCTGAACTTCTTGGAGGTCTGGCCGAGGTGATGGTGGTGGATGAAGAGACTCCTGCGTTTTTCCCTCATGTCTGTCTGGGACTTGCTGAGGAATATCGTGCCGGCGCGGGGGTGGTCTGAAGGACTGAACTCCAGGTTCAAATCGTCGATGTTCTCGCGGTCTCTGATGTGCTGCAGGCTGCAGCCCCTGTCCTCGAGGCTGAGGTCGGCGTCGGGCTGGTAGGACTCCAGGAGCGAGTGCGCGTTCCCGCGGAGCTTGGGGCTGGCCGACAGGCAGCACGAGGTCGTGTTCCCCATGTTGGAGCGAGCGCGGGGCCGCTAGCCCCGGGGCGCGGGCGCAGGCTCGGGCGCGGAGGCAGGCGGCCCGCGCCCCGCGGAGGGTGGAAGGCGCGCCGGCCCGGGTCAGCAGCGAGCGCGGCGGCGGGGCCTCGCCATGGACGGCGGCGACGAGCGGGCAGCTAGGGCGGCCAGCGGCCCCCGGTTCGCGACTGCAGCCCCACGCGGAGCTCAGCCCCCCGCGGCCATGGCGGGCGGCGCCGCGCAGGCCGCCTCCCACCGCGATGAGCATCTTTCTATGAGATATGCATCTATAAGCAGGTGCAAGAGGAAGAAAGTTATTACGTAACAGAAAGGTTGGAAATGGCTGTGGGCTGAGGGGAAGACACTTCCTTCTTTGTCAGTGCAGCTCATGAGCATATTGCACCCTCCAGTCTCTGTCTCTGTCTTCTCTGGGGAGGGGGTTAGACTGACATGGCTACAGAATTCGTAAAGGATTGGGTGTCTTCAGCTTTTCTGGAGTGAAGCCCCCACTTCCATCCTATCCAATACTGTTGCAGCCATGACCTTAGAGATCTGCCTCTAAGAAGGTGTAAGTGGCTGGCGTATGCGCTCCAAGTTCCCAGTCACAGAGACTGAACTGATCATCTCTATCCGTAGCCCTGTTTTATTTCTAGACCTGGTCATAGAGAACAACACTTGAGAATTGTTGTTTCCCAGTACCTTGTGTGTGAGCCAAGAACTCTGACGAGTACACAAGTGACATAACAGTCCAGACTTACAGGTGGGGAGAGGTCCATGGAGCCAATATACTTATTATACTTAGGCCTTCGCTTCTGATCTCGCCATCCTGTCTGCAGAAGGGGCCGGGATTTCGTCGCTGGGACGTGGGAAGCCTGCGCTGTTCCAAAGAGCACTGCATTTTGACTTTGCTGGATACAACAGGCAAAGCAGCAGCTAGACCCACAGGCTATTGACTGCTTCTTAGTGACTGGGACTGAGCAAAGGTAGCAGCCTGGGGAGAGGCCCTTAGCCTCAGCCAGTGTTCTGAGGAGCCGGAAGTCTAGCAAGGAACTGATTAGATCTCCAAGTGGCAGGTGGTGGGTCCCAGCTCAACTGGATCAAACCTGAACAGCCTCTCTGAAGGAGCAGTGACTAAGACGTAGTTCATAGCGACAGGCCTTTCGTACAATTTCTGCCTTAGAGGAATGGGGAGCTCTTCCGGTGTAACCAGGTTGTCAGCCAAAAATGGAGCTTGGGTTTTAAACCCTAAGTGCCGGTCTAAATGGTCTTCTATAATCATACTTCCCTTTCTTTTCTTTTTTCCATTCTTCCCTCCCCCTCTCCCTTCATTCTTGTTTTGAAATTTCCCCCAGGATCAAGAAGAGAAAATACATCAAATACAGAGTTGGATTTATGAAATTTGCCTGCAAGCTGCTTTTGTTGTAATGTGGCTAGCTATAAGTAAAATGGATACAGTCTCAAGGACCAAAGCTGCCAAGAGCTAACACCGCTGTAAATTAGGGAGAATTGCATTGAGGTGGCCTAGAATGAATGCTGGCCTACAAGATAGAGGGGATGGCCTGGGAGCAGAGTCCACACTCAGAACCAAGAGCAAAGGAAATACAAAGATGCTAAAAACACCTCTAGGCAACTAGAAAGCATCTTAGCTAACACTTGATGTTTAGAATTTTTAATAATACAAATTCTTTAACTTTACGAAAAGACAGAAATGGCTCTTCTGCCATCCAAGACAGAAAGCAGTGAATAGGGGGAGATAGTCCTTACCCCCAACAGGCAAACCTCTCCTTTATTCTGGGAGATTTCTCTGTCCTGGCTATTACCCATCTCTTCTCACACAGAATGAAGTCTGTCAGCCAGAATCTTTGGTGACAGTGGCTGTGGCAACATTCTGCCTCTAATGTTACTGTAGGTACTAGAGAGGGGCACGTAGGCCAGCTTGGTGAATGTGAAGCCGGAGCTCAGCAGCCTCATCATTTGTAAATTCTGCAGAGCCTTCAGGTGATGTATGTCTGAGAACAGATGCTACAAATTCTAGAGGCTTAAGTGCAGGAGCTATAACTGTGTGTATGTGTGAATGCATAGATGTGTGTGCCTGTTTATGAGCCTGTGTGTATGTGTGTGGGTGCATGTATGCATGTATTATGTATGTGCATGAATGTATTGTTTCTGTGCATGTGCGTGTTGTGTGTGCTTACATGTATGTGTGTTTTCATGTATGTATGTGTGTATGCATGTATTGTGTTGTATGCTTGTGTGTATGTGCATGTGTATACATGTATTGTGGGGGGTTACATTCAGGAACACAGCTATTAAAAGACCAAGTCCATGAAGGCATCCAGAATCCTGCTGATAGAGGCTGAGTTACAGATTGAGGAAGAGAGTTGGGTCTTAATTACAACTTACAAGTTTCAAACTTCAAACATTTACTTCCACAGGGGAAATAATTTGATATGAGACTTTAACTCACTTGGACTTTAATATATTTTGACTTTCACTTGAAAGGAGATTTAATCTTTGAACTTCAGCTTTGCCCTGGGATTTTTATAACATTAGGGTTCTTTATATTAAAAGTTTGAGGTATTTTCTATGGTTTTGGCATCTCACAACTAGCGAAATTTTATGCTTTCTTCTTTTTGTTGTCATTAAATCTCCTTGAAGAGCTTGTGACAGACTGTTGAAAAAATGACGTTGGACATAATTTAGAAATGGAACTAGAACAGAGCATATTTTAAGCTTTAGAATACAACTGGCATTAAAGTTTATTTGCTTAATGAAATGTGCATATATATTTCAGAGAATTGTAGAAGCAAATTCTATAGTGACCTGGGGCACCATAGGAGCTACAAAGGACAGAGGTTAAGGATGTCAGCCCAGCCTCAAGATGAAAGAAGCCATCCCCATATGGATGCATCTTCCCTTCTTGAGTCCGGAAGACACAACACTGGTTATGATTGCAGTTTTCATGGTCTGAGAGAAAAGCACATCTTGGGAGTTTGGTGTGAATGCTTCCTTCCCACTCTTAGTGTCATTCCAGGTAAATGCAGAGGTACTCACTACAGCCTCACCCTCAGCTGCGCAGTCTGCCTCAGCAGAAGCTGAGTGGTATGTGACTACCAAACTGGGCACCAGGTCTGGCACACTTATCCCCTCTCTCTTCTGAGTGAGAAAATGAGCCACTAGCAGCTGTTAGCTGTTAGCTGTCCCTTTTAAGCTGTCTCTGAAGCCCAGTCAGCAACTAGTTAAGCTACAACTTTCCCTGAGGGCTTCAGGACAGAGGGAGTCAAAGGAGTTAACAAGTATAATTGCTATGTGGTCTGACACAGTCCTAAGGACACAAATCTGAAGGCCACATGCTCCAAGTTTACTCCTAATAAAAGTGAAGTTGACCCTGCCCTCATCTGTTCCTGCTTGATTCATTACTCAGTGTGCTTCGGGGAAAGGAGCAGGTTATTCTTTGCTAGGTTTTTCCATAGACTCCCATGGAATCAGAACTGACTTGTACAACTCACTGGTATCATGAACCAGCCATGTCTTTGGGACCTAGTCCTCTCATAGGTTGTTCAAAAGTGAAGCCTACCTCACTTTGGGAGTAATGGCTATGCAATTCTATTACTAAATGTGGCATCATGTTAGATCTGTGAACACATGCGCTAGCTCAAATTTTAACACAAGAGAAAGACCAGCAGAGCTCTTCATCAGCACGATGGAGCACTCCAAACAGAACAAAAGCAACTCCGAGAGCAGGCCTACTGAACCAGAGACAACTCTCCAAGTCCAGGCATGAGCATTTCTTTCTGACAAGTCTGCCCACTGAAGAACAGCCCACCTCATGGGGTGAACCAGGGCCACAGAACACACAAAAGGCAAGAAGGATGACCTTAATGAAATGCACAGGCATGGACAGAGGAAGTTTAATGTCTCGTTCAATGGTGGCAATTGTGTGTGTGCGGGTTAGATGAAGGTAGGTGCCTGAAGCTACACAAACATTTTTAGCACTCACACAAGGAGACAGAGACTGATTATCACCCTGTGTAAATTCCCTGTCATGTGAATTGATTAGAATGTTTCAATCCACTGAAGAAAAGGAAGTATAATGTCAGTGCTAATTTATTTGGAATTTGTAATTTTTTTCATTAAAAAGGACTGAAATATTGATGTGTGTAAGACTTTATGTCTAGCCTAGTTACTGGACTGGATATGTAGAAATAATGAATTATCTCTCCTACCCCTAATTGTTGACATAGTCAATAAGATTTTTCTTTTTTTTTTTTCTTTTTTTTTTTTTTTGCATTGTTGGAGAATGTCTTCCACAATCCCTGCCAGCAAAATCCATCTCTTGGTACTGTATACTAATGTATACATTGCATTCTTGTTTTAACAAATAATATGCAAGAAGAGAGAAGAGATTCAAGCCAAACATAGTGTAATGAAATGACATTGTGTAGAACAGAAAATGGTAAGGGGAGAGGACAGGAGAGGGCAGAGGAAGGGAAAGGAGGGGAAGGGGAATGAAAGGGAAGTGGGCTGGAGAAGATGGCACGGGCTGGCCTGGATTGCAGAGAAACAACAGCTCAGAAGGGCTACTCCACAGATAAGGAACAGGAAGCCACAGAATTACATAATTTTCCTGAGGTCACTCCTTATTAGTAGAATTGCTGGAAAAAAAGGCTCTAGTTTTACTGAGCTCAGCAATACATTGTTCCAATATACTGCCTCTGGTAATTTGCTCAGCTCTGAAGCAATGTTTTCATTTGTTTGCTACTTTTATTTTGTCTTTATGCCTAGACTTTTCACCTTACTTAGTTTTATAATTGGATAGAAATCACTGGAGGAAGGAAAAACATAAGACTTAAGAGGCTTTTCTTTCTGGGCCCTTGTAAGAATTCCCTGTAGGAATCTTTACGGTCAAGGTCAGCTGCTCTGGTTTGTGAACGGGGGACACTATAAAATGGGAATAAATTTTTCTCAAGAGATAAGATGTACAAATGCATTTTTAA